AAGAGAGAAGGGGAGCCCTCTGTCCTCAGACACCAGGTAGAAGGGTGGATTAGTCAGTGTTCCAAACCCAAGAGGCAGCTTTGGATTGATTGGGGGGATAAAAAGGGCAAAAAACGTGTGAGGGTCTGGCTTTCATGGATTGGTGATGTACCACAGTACTGGACTTCCTCAGAAAACTTCCGCTACAGAAGTTTCATTTAGCGAAGAAATGCCACAGAAATAGTCCCTTTTGTTCACAAAATGCTGGCACATCCATTTCAGGCCAAGATCAAGAAATCATGACATGTACAGAGGAAAAGATCTTCATTTCCAGGACATGGGATTACTCTGAGTGAAATTTGGGATGTGTAAAAATGTCTCTGGTTCCGAGAATTGCCTGCCTTGTATTGATGATTGATTTTATAACCAAATCAGTTGCTCTTCTTACAAAGTTGGGGGGAAAACAGGATAATCCAAGACCACCAGGCTGCATTACAAATAGACCGCTTGCAACAAGCCAGCCAAGTGTTTGCATAACACCACGCCAGAGCCTGCCTGCTGGAGGCCTCTGGCTTTTGCGTGGCATTCAGAGAGTCGTGCGGGGTCATGTACCAGACACTAGATGTCCCTTCACTTCTCTCCAGCGTGGCATCCTCCATCACTCCCCTATTTGTGTGCTTGTGTTTCTTAGGAAGGAACCTCAAAATTTGCAAACCTGGACAGCAGCGTGAAAGAAAACCAGAAACGGACTCAGAGGCGGCTTCAGCTCCAGAAGGATATGGTACGTCAGGATCTTGTTCTTTCCTGAGAGTGCACAGGAGAGGGGCTCTGTGTGGGTGGCTGGGCTCCTGCCTGGCACGGCACCTTCAGTCTCCAGGACACCCGAGCTTTCAGAAAGGTTCTCCTCTTCTTTTCCTCATATGTTTTCAGCAGCCCTGGAAGTCTATAGGAAAGATAGTATTACCCCCATTTGATCCAGTAGGAAGTAAACACGGGGCTGCAAATCCTGTTTTCTGGAGCAGTTTTTTCCTGAAGGTAAGGGAGAGTGTGCAGCAGGTGGACTTCCATCCCTCTGTGGTCTCCTCCACCCACGCCTGCACCTCAGAGCTTATTTAGCCTCCTGGGCTGCACACTGTTGTCAGCTTCTGCACACAGTGGCCAGGGAAGGAGTGTGCTACTCTGGGAGGTCTTGGTCCTTGTACTCAGAGATCTTTTCATTTGTTCCAAACCCTTTAGTCATTGCCGAGCTCTCCTTACTAAACCCAAAGGCTGAGCAAACCTTTCTAGGTTTTCAGTACTCACAGAAGTTTCATGCTTCTCTCCTAAGACTGAAAGATAGTTCTTACCTTTAGCTTTGTTTTAAATATCCAACTTTTACCATAGAAGGGGGAAAAACAGAGAAAGGAGATTAGAGACTGTCAGACTCTAAATATTCTCATCCCTGCTTTCAGAGGATTTTCTCCTTTTTTGGAAAGCTGGACATAAATTGGAAAGGTTTGAATGACAGGACTCTTCTGTAACATAAAGCCTACAAAACATTCACAGTGTTTCAAAATTTTTTGGAGGTTCAAAGACAAGTTAAAAATAGCTGTTACAAAAAAAAAAAGATTATTTTTGTTCAGGATGAGACCTTGTACACATAATGGCGAAGGACAAACTGCAGCTGACAGTTCCTAAAGGACAGAACCTTCCTTGGTGTGACCCTCACGAAGCAGTTCTGGCTGAGGACGTGGGCAGCCTCACGTCAAGCAGCCTCGCCCTGGTTGAAACTTTGTGTCCTTGTCAGAATTTCCATAAGTGCCTCAATGAAATTTAGGATAAGGCATCTGTAGGAGCCCCTTTTTATTTTTTCTTCAGAACGGTTAGTGCATGGGGGGCCTGGTAGGGAAGGAGATGTGGTGAAATGAACATAGTGTATACCTGCAGTCGTACTCTGAAGTGCCTCCACCTCCATTTCCAAGGGGCAATTTTCAAAAAATAAACTTTTAATTTTGGAATAATTTCAGGTTTACAGAAAAGTTGCAAAGCTAGTGCATAGAATTTCTGTAAACCCTCCCCTAGTTTCGCCCATTGTTAACATTTTCTATAACCGTGGCACTTCTGTCAATATTAAGAGACTGACACTGGCATAGTATTATGAACTAAAATTCAGACTTTATTGGGATTGTACCAGTTTTCCATTAGTGTCCTCTATCTGCTTCAGGACCCAATCCAGTGTATCACACTGCATGGAGTCTTCCCAGGCTTTTCTGGTTTGTGACAGTTTCTCAGTCCTTCCTTTTTTTTTTTTTTAATAACCTTCACAGTTTTAAGAGTACTGTCCAGGTATCCTGTAGAATGCCCCACAATCTGGGTTTGTCTGTTGATTAAACTGATATTATGGGTTTTGGGAAAGAATATTACAGAGGTGAATGCTCTTCTCGTCACATCATGTCAAGGAGTGAATGGTGTCAGCATGACATCTGGTGTCACGTTGATGGTGCCGCTGGTAATGTTGACCTTCGTTACTGAGTTAACGTAGAGTTAGCTAGATTTTCCATTTTAATGCTCTTTTTCTTTCCTTTTTTTGTGTGTGTGTGGTGGCTGGCCAGTACAGGGATCAAACCCTGGACCTTGGTGTTATCAGCACCGTGCTCTAACCGATTGAGCTAACCGGCCAACCCCCAGTTTTCCACTTTAAAGTTACTTTTTCCCCCTTTCCTTACTCTGTTCTTTGAAAGGGAGTCACTAGTCTAGCCAAGGGTCCCTCTTCATCGTGACACTCCATGCTCTTGTGGTACATACCTGTCCTCCATTGTGCCTTGACCTGCTTTTATTGAAGATGAAGCCGTTGCTATCCAGGGCCATTCCAAACCCCGGGGAGTGTCCATGCACTCTGAAACAGAAAGCCTTCCCTCTGAACTGAGCCTAAGCCAAACATAAACCCCACTGGGAACATATTTGAACATACATGTATGATCTCCTGGCTTTGAAGCTTGGTTTTTATAACTTTGAAAGTGAGACATTAGTCATGGAGTTCCTATCCTATTTGTGTAGGAATTTTAAACATTTCATTCACGGAGGTTAGCAAATTAGACCTTGAATAGGTCCATGTGCTGCAGTGTCAATGTGACTGAAACCTTTAAACTTTTCAATATCCTAAAGACAGTTTTGCTCTGATTGCTCTTCAGGGTGTGATGCAGGGTACTGTGCCCTACCTGGGCACCTTCCTGACTGACCTGACCATGCTTGACACTGCTCTTCAGGACTACATCGAGGTGAGTTCTGCACAGGTGGTGTCATTGGGCCTGCAGCCTTCTCACTGGATACCCAAAAGAGAGATTCGCTTCTACAACTACTAGTGTCTATTGAGGGCCCATTATGTACAGTGTGGTGTAGAGGCTGGGAGGGATACAAACAATAACACCAGAAAATGACACCAGAAGTGACTCGTTATTCAGTGGACGGCATAGTATATTAAAGTAGGCAGTGATTGACAGGAATAGTAGAAATTTGTTCCGTTTTTTATTTATTCATTCATTCATTCATTCATTCATTCATTTATATTTTTATTGAATCATAATTGATTACACATATTTTGGGGGTTTAACATTAACATATGTTGATCAAATCAATATT